TGGAATAACCTCCCAGATGATAGACAAGCCCCGACTCTGAGCACTTTTAAGACCACCCTTTTACACTGCCTACTCCACCCTGTGATGACTGCAACCTTATTTTAAAACTCAATATGAGGTCATTTTAAATAATCTTTGTATCTTTTTTACCCTTACCACTGCTGACTGCATGAAATGAAACCGAAACTGCGACCCATATGCCTGCATTGTAACTGAAGAAGCATAAGTCATGGCCGTACACTTAAGGTGACACTAAAGCTACCTGCTGATTCACATGTAGGCAACTTCACTGCTAACGTCTCATCTAACCAAATCATGCTCTGAAATATGATTACATTAAAATAAGCACAGTCGCCATTACGTGACACACAAGAGTTTCTTATTTTATTTACAGTCTATTTAATGGCATAATTTGGCCGGTCTAATTTAATCAAAAGGTTCTTTCAGGTCAATTTTTGTTTTCCATGCAGCTCTTATACCAGTGATTTCTGACCAGAGTATCTACAGATCTCTTCTTAATTTCATCAGAAGCTAACTTTATGGAAAGTACTGCGGGCGTATCAGATATTTCCTAAAAATATATCATATTTCCATATGTAAACTCAACACTGTCAGGAATAAGTAAGCACTTACAAAGAGAGCTTCCTCAACTGTCTGTAGTGTTAACAGTCCGTATACCATCAGGTATATACTGTATGATTAAATCTTTGTTTTATTACAGACGCTGCAACACAATAAGCATTATGATAAGGAGAACTATTTCATTTTCAGTTTACTTTTATTGTCCAAGTATGAAACAGTAGCATCATTAATGTGACATGGCATTGTGCTCCTGCTGACAGGTATGCATTTTTCTTGTCTAGACATGCAGAGGCATATCTAGAAGGAGCCCTGAGGGAAGAAGCACCGGTTGGGAATGTGGATTATTTTTCAAGCTACACTCATATTACTACCAGCGAATTTTTGGGGCCAGATCTGTTGAACAGCCTCCCAGCAGCCGTGACAAGAGGATAGACAAGACAGGCTTTAACAAGACACCCAGAATATGTGATTTCACATAAGATGGAGCACGAAGTATGAGTAGAACAGTGTTATGTTTTTACTGACCAAGCCTCTGGAAGCCTTTTGAGTGAGTCAGCCCGCAGTGCTCTTAAATACAGTTAACAGTATTTACACTGGTTGATTATTAAATCCAAGAAGCTTGATACTTTTGTCCTTGTGGAGAACGTCCTTCACAAACTTTTCAGGAATGTTAACAACTAAGAAGCAGACCTACTGTTTGCTTCAAGTCACACATAGTGACATAAAATGTGGGATATTCACTCCGCCACCTGTTTCAACCAGCTCTCAACAGTCCACTATAAAAGTCTGGACATGATATGCTATGAATATTTCAGCTTTTGGTTTGTTCTTGGCTGCCCGATCTTTGTGCATTCACCCTCAGTTGGCGACAAAAATCACACTTCTTTATCTTTTCTTTGACCTTCCGTTCCAGCTTTATTTGGCTGTTTAATATTACACTGAACTCTTCCTAGAGGACACGAGAAGGCGATAGATATGTAGTGTGATGACAGATTCTGTTTCTAATTTTGAAGCGGGAGTCACAAAACAAGGAGATATAAACTCAAATCTCCTGTGCGACCCATATTCTAACAATGTGGATTTTAAAGTATATTTGTTTCCTAGGATTCCCCAAGCTACCACACATACTTTAAACACACATGTAAGCACACTGCATGTTGCACTGTCTAATGCGTGTGTCTGTACCCTCAAAGGGCAGGGAAATGGCAGGCAGGGGCATGCTGGGATACGAACCTGAACATCTGCCCAGGTTGATGCACTGCTCCCCGGCCCCTCTCCAAGGTCAGGGCGGCAGCTCAGAGCTCATGCACATTCCCATGGGAAAACAAACTGACTGGAGACAAACTGCCAGGAGCGCAGTGCAAACAGACACCCTTGTGTGAGCAGGCCTCTCTCTTTCTCTGTCTACACACACTGGGGCCTTCTGCTGCTCATTAGTCAGATGGAGGTCACTTAGTTAGACCCCATTCTGTATCAAAACCCCATTTAACTTCTAAAACCAGCAATCGGATAGACTGAAATTACAATAACACCCAGTTAATGGTGGGATGAAATGCTATAGCTTCAATAAAGGATCCATATCTAAATAGTGCACGGACATTAAGCTTTATTGCATGAGGAAGTAACATGCAAAGACATGTACTGCCACAACAGTTTTCAAAGGAATCAGCCATTTCGTCAGCTTGCAGGTAAAGTAAAAAATAAGTGTGAACTAACAGCAGAAGAAATGGCCGCACTAAATCTGAGTGAGCTTCCTTTCATTGCATTTAAAAGGCCTCTGATGCGATCAATCCAGTGAAATGTAAAGGCTCCATGCAGCATCGTAAAGCTGTTTCTTTTCACGGCGGCAGAGATCAGAGTGATGATGCAAAGGATGTTGCTGTGAGGTGTTGATCTGTCTTTGCACATCTCAAAGTGAGACTTCCCCCTGGCACACCTTTCATTCAAGGCATGGAAATGAAGATGTGGGAAAAAAAAGTGATAAGGCTGCTAAATTCACAGCGACGGGATTAGTCACTGTGTAAGCAAGAAGTCAGAGGTGTGACAGGAATGTACACTCGTATCTCTTTTGATTACTATCAGTGTTAAGTAACGTGCACTCGGAGAAAATCAAACAACACAATATCTTTTACCAAATACCTTAATATTGATATTGCACCGAAATTGTAGGGTTGACTATATGCTTTTACAAAATTTTTTACAAATAATCATCTGTAATATGGATATAACGACTAAATGGGTAAAGGAGGAGACCAGGAGGAGACAACCTTTATGATACTACAATGTCCAAAATCTCAGACAATATCAAGTCTCATATTACAATGGGGCGGCTGTGGTTCAGGGTTAGAGCGGGTCGTCCACCAGTCATAAGGTTCTTGCAGTCAACATGTTGGAGTATCCTTGGGCAAGATACTGAACCCCAAACTGCACCCAGTGGCTGCTCCATCTGTGTGTGAGAGCGTGTAAATGGTAACTGAGTAGCAGGTGGCACCATGTATGGTAGCCTTGGCCACCAGTGTGTGAATGTGTGTGTGAATGGTAGTGTAAAAGTGCTTTGAGTGGTTGGAAGACTAGAAAGGCATTTACCATTTACCTTTATTGCCCAGCCCTAATCCATGCAATAAGTTCCTGTTGTGTCTACCTCCTCGCTGAATGTCAGCCTATGCCTAATATCTATGGCTTCAGCTCTATAAGGGCAGTGGTGTAGTGGTAGTTGACGAGATGGGTGTACTACTAAGTAGATGGATAGGTTTCCGAGAATGAAGTGGGTATACTCTCCTCTATATTCCATGGCTTTTGGGCTGATTGACGGGTACACCTACCATACTCCTAGATCCTCCTCTGCAATCCAACTCGCATCACCATCTGCCCTCTTGACTACCATGGGTTCTAGACCCTTCAGTCTCTGGAACTCTCCCCTACGACATTTGCAATATTGACTCCCTTGCCACTTTCGGATCCCATCTGAAAACAGGTGGGTCTTCTTCCTGTACCTGTATACACCGTCTACTAATCAGCTGTTCAAGGGTATAGATTTTCACACTGTTTGGGCACGCGTCATTTAAAATGACATCATTATGTACATCTATATGACTAACACAAAAAAGCCACAATCAGCATTCATGTCCAAAATGTCTCCTTGATGTTAAACAAACCTGTTACCTACATACAATTTGCCTCCAGACACCAGAGCCAATCAATTTGTGTTTAAAACATACTACTACAAATATTTTCACTTTTCCTTTCAATTCCACGCATGAGGTTAAAAAACTGTCTGGAAGACGTACCAAAATCTTGGAGCAGAAAATGAAACTCCCCTGGGGTAGGGGCTCTCCAACAAACCAGTGGCTTGCCATGAGCTACACATGACAGAGTAACACCATATGGTACGTGGACATCTTGGAGGAGGAAACCACCACTCTGAGATCCAGCATAATCTAGACGCCTGTGATAATGACTTAGAATAATTAATAACTGAGTTTCACTATCATCTATTCAATCTGCCTACAGTATGAGAAGTGGAACAAATATCCTCCTACACAGGGTTCCCTTTTACAAAATCATGAAACTTAGACAAGATTTTTTTTTGTCTAAACCACCATGTGTGATATAATTAAGTATGTATAGCCCGACCCTTCAGAATACGTGAGCCTAATACTGACCTACTGACCACCAGACTACATGGCTGCATCATTCTAACCCAGTAAAACACAAAATCAAATAACAAATAAATATCTATCCCACGTATGAAACCAAAAGCAGACCAGAGTCTTCCTCCTGCCTGAAAGATCATGGGCTATATGGGCATATGCACCCATGGCAGGCAGGCAGGCAGGCAGGGGGTGAGGCTGCAACTACACTGCATCTTTTGTCTGGTTGTGCCGAAAATGAAAAAAGGAAAGAAGAGGAAGAAGCCTGTACGTGTGTCACATGCTCACCGCAAATGATATTCACTGAGCAACAATTTACAACTGGCCTCATGGTTCATTCATATTCTGTTCCAGCAGTCCGGTGCCAAATCAACTGCAGCTCGGTGTGCAAACCACTGCACAGCGGCTGAGTTGGGTGCGCCTGCCGTCTCATTCATGTGTCTCGGGGGGGGGCTGTACTCAAAGCCGTTGGCGTCGACCAAAACAACCACACAACAGCAGACGGACCCCCTTGTGCAGTAGGCTGATGTGATATATGAGCCTGAGAGGAGAGTAATTACAACCAGGATGCAGCCTTATATGTGCATTTACACAGGGCGGCTCAGCTCCCTTTAAATATTGTCATGCGCCTCTATAATAAAACCAGACAAAATCCATGCACAATGCGGGCGTGCTGCATTCACAAAAAAGGAGTGAGCACGTTTTTATATGAAGCACACTGGCACCCGTGGTTTCCTATATAGTCCACGCACGCACGCAGCAACCCACCTGCTTGTGTTGTATCGGTCAGATCGTAGCTCATCCCCGGGTACTCCCTCAGCTTCCTCCCGCTCAGGTTCAGTATCCCCGAGCACACGGCATCCTCCAGAGCCCGGTCCAGGCTGCGGGCCGTGTGGTGCTGCTGCTGGTGCTGCTGGTACTGGCTAACGCCCGGGCTCCAGTGAGGTCCGCTCGAGTAGTGATGGCTTTGTAGAGCCGTGACAGCTCCCACACCTCCCTGACTAGACGCCATTTTCGTAAAAAAGAAATTACTCTTACAATAATAACAGCGCACAGCGGCAGTCTCTCCGCCCATGCGCATACGGGGCACATTCCCTGGACGGACGCTAGGGGATGGGCTTCTGAGGTGGTGCTGCGAGTAGTGATGAGGATGATGATGATGGTGGTGGTGATGGTGAGCAGGGTATGGTGGCCATTTTAGGCTTTTTATCCTGCCTCCACCTGCTAATATCAAACTCCCAGCAGGGGCCCCAGTGCTGCACACAGGGGGCCCTTCATGTAATCCAACATTCAGCCTGGAGGGCAGTGGATGGTTACTGACAAATTATAATTAATCACTATGATCACAACTATATCAGATATGGTTATTAAAGCAATGCTGAGTGCCATGTGGTGCCATGTCCCTCTGAATACTATCATAACCTAAAGCAGGGATGTCAAACATATGGCCCGTGGGCCAGATCTGACCCACCAAAGGGTCCAATCCCGCCTACTATCACTAGATAACTATCACTAGACAAAAGGTGCCAGATTTCAGGAGCAAGTTGAACAATGCCTACTTCATGTTAAATTCTGCTTCAGATGCTTTCCCACCCTGACCAGAGAACAGTCCTCTGATATACCAATGAATCCTTACTGTGACCATGTTTAAAGATATTGAACAATGTGCAAAATATTGTCAATCAGCAGCTTCCGTTCAAAAGAATCTGTACCAGGAAATGTGTGAATAAATGCACATGTCATGACGGTCAGAAGTAGACTAACTGAATGTGGAAAAACTGAGACATACCGTTGAAATTGCACTTATTTTACTTGCTGTTGATCTGTTTTGTAAAAGGATGAACATCAACAGAATTCTTTACAAAAAAAAGGGAAAATTTTGGAGGTGATAATACTTATAAGTTATTGCGCTCTGAGAATGCAGGGCTGCTTGTGCTTACTAAAGTCACAGAAGCCAGAGCCTTCAGCTATCAGGCTCCTCTTCTGTGGAACCATCTTCCTGTTTCAGTCCGGGAGGCAAACACCGTCTCCATATTTAAGACTAGACTTTACTTTTTGATAAAGCCTATAGTTAAGGCTGGCTCAGGCTTGCCTTGGACCAGCCCCTAGTTAGGCTGACATAGGCTCTCTCTCCTCAGTTTCTAAAAAGTTGGTTCTTCTTCATTTGCTAACATTCATGTCCCATTATTGCATATTGCTAACTCAGCTTTACTGCATGTCACTAACTCAGCTTCTGGAGGCAGACGCCGTCTCCGCATTTACTAGACTTAAGACTTTCCTTTTTGATAAAGCTTATCGTAAGGGCTGGCTCAGGCTTGCCTTGAACCAGCCCCTAGTTAGGTTGACATAGACTCTCTCTCCTCAGTTTCTGAAAAGTTGGTTCTTCTTAATTTGCTAACATTCATGTCTTATAACTGCATATCACTAACTCGGCTGTACTATATGCCACTAACTTGGCTTCTTCTCCGGAGCCTTTGTGCTCCACTGTCTCGCAGGTTTACTCGTATCGCAGCTGCGCCTAGATCGTGTGTCGTGGTTACACTTCTGCAGTGGTCCTGCGTGATGCAGACTACTACTGCTGTTATTATTAGTCATACTTCTTCCATTATTATTCACACATCCAGCCCATCTAAGATCAAATAGGGCTGTATGTGGCCCATGAGCTAAAATGAGTTTAACACCCCTGACGTAAAGCATCAGATAGTGGACAGAAGATTGTACATGGTAAATTTGCACATCTCATTCTCCCATTATACCCCAATGCATTCTTAAAACAAATTTGCACACACATATAGCATATTATATTCTTTATATTGTACATTCTATAGATATAAATCTTAATCTTACAGAATATGCTAGGGTTTCCAGCATTCATCGTCACTGAGTCGGGCCACTGCCACTGTCTAAGCAATTTGCAGGTTAAACTTAATTTGATTTATTCATTCACCCACTCTGTTACTCATGTATTTCCTTCGTATTCCTTTCTGACTTTTGTTTCTGCTCTACCTCATGCCATCTCACGTAGCTTGTGCCCCCTTCATATATGTTATGTCACCCTCTTATTTAGTTGAGCGTCTGTATACAATTACATGAGTGATGGCTTGTTACGATCAGGGTGCACTTTTCTACTACCTCAGTGAACGATGCTTCTAGTACATTGGACAATTTTTTATTTTTTTAAATGTTTTTGTTTCATTTATTTGTTTTTTATATATCTTTATTTATTTTATTGCATTGCTTTCTCCATCTTCCCTCTTATTGTTCTAGGTTGTGGGAAGGGTGTGTGGTTGTTGTTCACTGTGTTGCCCTGTAACTATGGCAAAATATCAATAAAAATATATTCAGGGGGGGAAAAAAGAATATGCTGGGGTTTCCTTCTCTACTGAGATATTTTTCCCTTCTTGTGTAATATGTGTATCACTGTGTTTTTACTGCTCCCATTCAATGCCTTAATAACCTACTGCTGTAACAACATAATTTCCCAACTTGGGATCCATAAAGCACATCTATCTATCTATCTATTACAGCATGGAGTAGCTACAGCACCCATATACCAGGTAATTACTGGCATGATTTTGTTCAGTGGGTGTCAATTATGGTTCATCATCTTCATCATCTACTGCTACTGCTGGTTAGGGAACAGCTACCGGCAGACTGAATAATGGAAGCTCTGAGCAAAATAATTTACATAGATCGTTGCTGCGATAACCTCCAGCAGGAAATATCTGGGTCCTAATGGTGCAGTTCATTTTCTCCCCTAACGTCACACTAGAGAAGCACAAAGGTAGCACAAGCTGCCGTCTTCTGCAGAATTGCACAGACTGTGCTCTAGTGTGCTGAAACACACCTTGTTATCCCAAAATGTTGTTTGGCCCACATGCTCCTGTAAGCACCCCTCTGGTCAACACTGCTGCAACACACAGCTGGTTTCTCCAAGCTCCAATGTTCATTGAATTTCATTGCTTTCTGTTTTTCAAGCAAAAATATCACTAACAACAAGTGTGCTAATTTTTGTGTTTTCTGCAGTTATGGCTGTACGTACTGTGAATGAATTTAGCCTACAGTCTATATGTTGACTTTCTTTTTCAGTTCTCTGCATCAGATTATTTCACCACCACAAAGCTTATAGATGCTTTTAATATTATCATTGGTAAATAGCAATAATGTATTGTATAATCTGCTAACTCCATGACACAATAGAAAAATGTGTCAAAAATATGCCGTCATCTACACTTTTTTGTCTTAATATAATGAGACGTGTAATATTCATATAATGATCAGGTTTGCTTTGGTTGATATTATATTGTATTCTGTGTTGCGGAGTAACTAGTCACATGTAATTAAATGACAGAATTAATATAATTGTAACCACTTACAGTTACAGAGAAAAAAATATGTAATCATAAATAATAAATAAATAATCAAAATGTTGGTGATTACAAAGACGTTACATCTGAATATATTCTTTTCTGTACAAATTTTAGACTGTATGTGGAACATTACAGTTTGTTGTTATACATCTTTTTGCCTTGCAGTAATTCACAATATTTTTCAGCTTTGTTGCCCAGTTTAAAACATTAGTTAGCGAAGTAATCAAATGTTATAAGTTACATTACTTTGAAGTATTTAAAATAGTTACATTACTAATTAGATTTTTTTTAACAGTGTAACTAAACTATCTGTTTTATAGAGATGTTCTCCACCAGATTGCTTCTGTCATCGATCAAATGACTGATTATGAGGGACATTTAAAATCACTTAGGGACTAAGTGTGTTACTTATGAGAAGGGAAGGGGTGGTGCAAAAAGTGAGAGGCATGCCAAATATTTTTTTTGAGCACTGGGGAGGGACTTATGTTTTTTATTTTGGCTTAGAGGAGGGGCATAAAACTTTAAATGTCTGTATTTTGTATTTATTTAACTATCGTGGTTTCTTGAAAAAAAATAAAAGAAGCCAAAATTACACCATTTATCATAGCCAGAAACTTAAAAAAGAGAAATTATCATTGAATTGAACACATTTTGTAGGATGAACACTTCGGTCAGAAAAAAACATAACCAAATCTGAGCTTGAAATGGTGATATTTCATCTAAATCACTTTTATTTGCAAAGTCTAAGGGCTGCTGTGAAACTGCGCCTACCTGGGGCAACAGAAAAGTTTGTCTTGGGTGCGTCGGTACAATGAACAAACGAGAACTTTCTTATCATTCTGTGTACAGTTGTGTTTTTTTGTACATTCGTTTTCTTACGTTCTGCTATCATATATTGGTATTTGAGGATGTTGTGAATAGTGAAGTACTTGTATGACAGGTCATTGTGATTTGGTAGTCAGGCTTCTGCTCCTCAGAGTTGATCTCATGTGATGAGTGGCACCAGCTGATTGATTTATCACCTGGAAGGAATCTGTCTGTGTCTATATCCAGCCCCGGGCAAGGGGGGGGTTAAAGGGCACAGATGACCCTGGCCCAAGGCCAATAGGGGGCCCATGTAAAGTCTTTGGTAGACCCTTGAATGGGATCAAGTACAATTCACTTACTGACTTAAACCACTTACAATACAAGTTCTATGTATTTACATGATAAACAAATGTAATTTTAAATTAATACACATTTCAATGTGCCATCTGATACTCCCAACCCCTGGAGTATTGAGAAATGGAGCGGGTCAGGTGCACCATGGAGAAAACGCACAAGTGTGGCTGATGTAAACATGTGAGGTGAAGTGCAACCTGATGAGCTAAGTCAGAATGCCTCACAAAAAGTCAGGGGCTCCTAAAGGAAAAGTCAAGGCACAGAGAGAACAAGAAAATGAAAGGAGCAGAGAGTGGATGACCAAATGTCTGACAAAAAATGTGAAGAAGCAGCAAGTATGACAGGCAGAGCTGAAGGTGAGGAGTGGAGCAAATAAAACCTGCTGTATCAGCTCAAGTTAAAGCTACAGTGAAGACGCAGGTATCATATTAAAGTAGAGGACCTAAAAGGCATCCATTGGTACCAACAGTGTTATGCTATCTTGTTGGAAAGGGGGCAAAATAATGCTCCAACATAATGCTAAATTTGGCGCGGGAAAAAGGAATGCCATTTTTCAAAATGGTGTATTTAAATATTTCTGCATACTGGGGTCCCTAAACAGTCTTGACACTGTTTCAGTTCTGCACTCAATTTGACCAATATTTGATTAGCCTCAAAAAAAGATTTGTTCATACTGATTTGATCTTATGATTTATCCAATTTCCTCAATCCATGTTTGACTTTACTTTTCTCTAATCATTCATTGGAGGGGATTTCTTTGGCCCAGGACACGTGACTACCTCTGCTTTTCAGGTAAGAAAACAGGTCTTAACTAGGGATGTTCCTGGCGGCTGACTTCCCTGTCGACTAAACAAAAATTTGAATTAAGTCGACAAGTCCAAAAAGAGAAGCACAATTTATTGTTAAGTATTTGAAACACTGTCCCAAAAAATAGTGTGTACATTAAGAGCCCCTTGAAGTCTTAAATCACAATCTTCATCGACCATGTTGGATTACAAATGCCCCTGAAGTACAAGACACTTTGCTCTGTGCGGTATGAATGTGAACATGAACATACAGGCTCAACATATTGCATTAACTTCCTGAAGCTTTTACCTTTGACAAAGTTAAGTGGAAGCATATCTTGCGAGATCATCATCGTGATGAGCTGCGTTATCGTCACAGCGTCTCCGGGTGAATGACGCTTCTGCTTTTACTCACTTTTTTTTATTTTGCACTTTTAGCACCTTTTTTGTGCACAGGTGTCTTAAATAAATAGACTATTTTTGCACTGATCCCAGCCTGCGGACTTTTTGTGGCTCTCTAGCCCAGTTGCATTGGTGTGCAGGTACCTCCTCTGACATCATTTCTCATTTAAAATTTGGCCAAAAATAAAGCAGTTGCACAAACTAACCTGCATGCATGACAAATGCGACAAACCAAGGCTTTTTTTCCAACTCCAGAATTTTGTCTTCAGCTTTTAACTTTTTAAAATCTAACAAGTTTATAGTGGAGGGAGGGTTATTCATTCATCCCCTCCTCTGATAAGTACAGAACAGTCCCTTATTCTACCATGCTCCTAACATTATCAGTGAAAGAGTGAGAGTTTGTTCAATGGACACTTACACAGATTTTAAAACCTTAATGAGACCTGGTTAAACCTCAAACTTCAGTACAGGTCATATGTAGGCTGTTAGATATGAGCAAACTTTGCCTACCACAACACACATGGGAATATAAATAGGGAGCACTCCATAAACTGTATCAGTAACATGGATAACTCGACTACATACCTATGAAAGTCCAATTTCCATGAGAAAGAGTCTCCTTCATGAATATGTACGAGCAGAGACAGACTCATTTATTGAATGTGCAGACGGAGCAGGCGTCCTCCTCACTCCACAGCTCCTCTTGGATATCTGTCGCCTCCTCACAGCTTCATGTTGTTATAGAAATCAATTGTCGTCGCAGCCAAAAATGGTGAAGCAATAGCATGACACACATAGTAAGTCACAGTTTAAGATGAAGTACGAAGCTATGTGCATGCTGTGTGGGTTTACAGTCTGCTGTGCGGCCAGTCGGTGCTTGTTTTGTGGCGATAACAGAGGAAAATAGACTGTTGTGTTAGCTAGCGTTAGCTAACAGTGTCACTGTGTGTTATCTACAGTTAGCTGCGGATGATAGCGGTGAGATAATGTTGCATCTGTGTGGCTCATGAGATTATCAGGATAATGCTCGACCGAGATATATCAGCTGTATTCAGCGTTACTCATCTAAAGGCTAACGCAGGGTTAGCTAACCATGTCACTAGAGTTCAGCTACAGTTAGCTAAGCTAATCATTATTGTTAGCTAACGTTAGCTAAGTGTAGCTCATATTTAGTCCAGGCCTTTTAAACAGCGTTTGTTCACCAAGCTGACCAAAATAACTGCAGCAGAGGATATGCAGGACATTTATTGAATGGTTTTATCAAGTTAAAACAGCTAGCTGTGTATAATATTATGGGGTGAATGTGCTTTGCTGCAGCTGTCTGCTAACTTATTAGAGTATCCCAAATGTCCATCCCCTTTGACCATATGTTTAAGCTGTTTGCAGTGTAAATAAGGAATGACTAGCACCTGATTTTGCTTTGTTTTGGCAACTCCTGTTTGTTTACCTGATACACTGCCTGTCTGACCTTAGAAGAAATGCCATAATGATACAGGTAAACTTAATAGCACACACATATTTATGCAGTTTTTGCCCTTAAGTGCATGTGTGCTGTGGGTCCTGCCCTGTTCCCCAGAGGATAAGGGAGATGTCTTAATATTTATTGTTCTCCACTGACCCTGACAGTGATGCACAGTGTGTGCACACAGCATAGAGGATGTTAGACTTGTTTGAGACAAGGATACATACACTGCAAAACTTCAATTAGTAATCCTGGACTATTTGCATAAATCACTGAAAGCAACAGGCCTATATTTGGGATAGGCCTTTAATTCCTTTGACACAAAACTGTTAATCAGTAAAGATGGGAAATACAATCAAATTGTTGATTTAAACCAGTATGAATAATACTTGTTTAAAAATTAGGCTTCAGATAATATATCTGAAGCCTAGCGTTGAAAGGGGTCAGTTGAGGTGGTTCAGGCATCTGATCAGGATGGCTCCTGGGTGCCTCTCGCTGGAGGTGTTTCGGGCACTGGTAGGAGGCCCCGGGGCAGACCCAGAACACGCTGGAGGGATTACATATCTCATCTGGCCTGAGAACACCTTGGGGTCCCCCAGGAGGAGCTGGAAAGCATTGCTGGGGAGAGGGATGTCTGGGGTGCTTTGCTCGGCCTACTGCCCCCATGACCTGGCTCCAGATAAGCGGTTGAAAATGGATGGATAATATATCAATTATAAATCATTCATTTGATCTAGCTCTTACAGATAGCATACCGACACAACACCACTTTATCCTGCTGAGGTAGCCAACAACCCGCTTTCATACATCTGAAGAACTTCTGTTAAAATGAACTGCTTAACAACCAGACCAGGCCTCTAATTGAGACAGGCCTTTATTTGTCAAAATGTGTAGCCACACCAGGCTAGTAAAAGGGACTGGGCCTTTACTTGAAGTTTTACAGTAATAAGATTAGAGCCATTTGAACACCTATTGAAGGTAAACTATCTTCTATTGATATACTATTAAAAGAACGGGTGTTTGGGATATAATGATATAAATAAAGGGATTATGTCATGAGTTTAACAGAGATGCCATTCTTATTTTGAACAATTTAGCATTTTGGTATTTTTATTTTATTCATGTACTATTATTGTTGTTATTTTTGCAGTGTGAGCATGGCAGATAGAAAGGGAAAACCTGTCACTCCGATCAAAACACTCACAAAGAAAGAACAAGAAGAACTCAAGAAAAAGGTAAGGACATTTGGGGTGTTATGATACTGGATAAGATTTAGTGCTTTTTAGATTTAGAAAGCTGCATTTTGTAGTATGAAGATACATGTTTTCCCAATAAAAATGTGTGTGAAATAAATGCATATAAGTAATCACCAAGTCTAGAATTTTGAATTTGATTAACAGTGAACTAAAGCAGTGGTTCTCAAATGGTGTGCCGTGGGATTTTGTGATAAACGCACATTATTATTAAAATATTCAACTGGGCCTATACGAAAAGTTATGACTTAATATTTTATTGACTGAATTAGTATGTTGTGTGCACCAATTTCCTAATAAAGAGGCAAGCTCTAGATATAAAATGTTATCTAATTTGATTTAATTAAAAAAAACAAACAAAACCCTTCATTAGGAATCTATTTGTTGCTGTTTGCACGTATGAATTATTAGTGTGTGACACATCAAAAGCCCTGACTGGCAGCCAGTGTGAGGGGTGATAACATTTAAAAGGAGTGGGACAATGGATCGCTTTATTGTATGGAGCAAATTACAACAAAGCACCAGCAAAGATGACCTACCACTGTCAGTAGACAGTGTCATGAAAGCTGCCTGTCTTGTTTTTGTCTTATTTTCATTGTCTTTCGTTGTGAAGAGTGACAACACACATTATAGAAGCTACTGTGCACAGATATAAATACAGGTGTGCCTTGAGATTTTGGCTTGCCCTTTGGTGTGCCTTGGGTACAAAAAATTTGAAAAACACTGAACTAAAGGATGGATAAGATACATATATTGTGTTTCTGTTTGCTGTTTTAGGAGGAAGAGAAAGCAGCAGAGGTTTTTGAAGAATTCTTGGCATCATTTGAGACCAGCGAGAAAAGCGGAGTGAAAACTTTTGTCCGTGGGGGCATCGTGAATGCAACTAAAGGTCAGCAGCAAGGACTTTGAATCCAGCATTATGACAGCACACAACTACATCTTAGTCCTGTCCACTTCCTTTGTGACTCATGAGTTATCTGCTCCAATAATATTAAACTGAATTGCCCTGAACATCTAAAGAGAACTGAAAATAATTATTGAAGAATATCAGGCTGACTCAGCAGTGAAATAGTTCACCTTCATAATTTTTCAGGGCCCCTATCTTTTGAATGGCTTAATAAAAATCACCCCTCTGGGGACCCGTAGTCAGCAGTCCATTATCACTTTAATTAAAAATAAAATAAAGCTCTTTCAATACTGAGCACTTCTTCAACTTTCTGTGACACATAAAGACATCCAGATAATTTAAATCATTACAGCAAACACAGCAGGAAGACCAAGCCTCAACAAATACATCAGTTGTTTTTCAAACCAAGGTCAACCTGTCTTCTAATTATACAGGAAGCTGCTCAGATATCCTGCAGACCAATAAAAGAACAGTGGTGACAACAGAGCCTCTTCCTCTTTTTACAGACCTAACTTACTATTACTGAAATAATAGTTTGCACACCTAATCATCATTGTTCAGGGATCACTTTGATTATTTTTTGCAGAGGAGGAAGCAGCAGAGGTCAAGAAAAGTAAGCTGTATCGACCTGCAACAAAGTTTGTCCCCGTGTCCCAGCATATCTCACCAGTTTCATCTGCTGAAAGCAAAAAGTCTGTAAGTTTGTACTCTGATATTTGTGTTTACAGAATTTATTATTACTACGTACATTCATCTTTAAAGGTGTCTCATGACCTCTCACTTAAGTCAGTGCAGTTGTACAATGAGTCAGTCATTGTAATAATAACCACAGCGGTTGCCTATCTGATTAACAGGCATTTAAAAGAAAGACAGAAGAAAAGAAGAAGAGTAATCTTGAACTCTTCAAAGAGGAACTTAAGCTGTAAGTCTATCTGTAAAAGTGCCTGATGCCATGTTTCAGGTCAATAAGTTGACTCTTTTTTGGGTATATGTAAGTCTGTTTTCATGTTTGAAAAAAATGCAGAATACAAGAAGAGCGTGAGGAACGATATAAAAGGAAGAAAAATGACTCCAGTGGAGGAGCAGCAGGAGGAGGAGGAGCAGGAGGAGGTGGAGGAGGAGGATATGGAGATCTTGACACACCGTTATCAGGACGGTCAGGTAAGAGCCCCTCTCCAAAATGAGAGTTTTATAAGTTGAAAATTGCTAACCTCTGTATCATTTTAACCTCAATCCTGCTTTTTCCCTGCAGTATTATATGACGACCTAACAGTGCCAACCACCACTAACCTCTACATTAGCTGCATTAGCCCAAAGGTAACGCAGCACGCTGACTTTAATTGGCTTAGCGCAGCATAGATGTATATTTCTCATTCTTCATTGTTCTTGTTTTCCAGATGAATGAGGAGATGCTCTGCAAAGAGTTTGGTAAGTATGGTCCCCTGGCCAGTGTGAAGATCATGTGGCCCCGGACAGACGAGGAGCGCTGCAGGACCTCCAACAGAGCCTTCGTGGCTTTCATGACACGCAGAGACGCAGAGAGAGCCTTGGCTGCACTTGATGGTACAGTTGGCTCTTAACAAGCAGGTTGATCTAATAACCATTCCCCCACTGCTCTTATCGTATCGTTATGTTCCTCACTGACTGTAATTTTGTTTTGTATCGCAGGTAAAGTGATTATGGGGTTTGAAATGAAGCTGGGATGGGGTAAACCAGCTCGTATTCCACCTCAGCCTCTCTACACACCAGTGGGGGTGAGGGCCACGCCGCCACCCCCATCTGGTCTGCCTTTCAATGCTCAGCCAAGGGATCGCTTCCGCAATGACTTCACCAAGCCGCTGGGCATGTCCAAAGGAGAGCTCGACAAGGTAAAATTGTCTCTGTTCTCTGGGGGTGTCTGCATGACCATTTTTCTCTGTGATGTGCACTCCGCTAGGCATGACAGGCTCTCATATTTAAGTGACAAGTGATGGATGTTAACTGCATTGGGATGGTGGTGCACTAGAACAAGAATTACAGTCTATACAAAAATGTGAATATTAAAGGAGGGTGAGCCTTTTACCGAGGGTTTTCCTTTATGATGGAACACAGAAGTAGAAGAAGAATCTTTCTGCCGCTTTTTAGAAAAATACACTCCCTGAAAATTTATCATTTGACCTTAAAGGGATAGTTCAGATTTTTTGAAGTGGGGCCGGATTACATATAGTAGATAGCGGTCTGTAATCTCCTTGTTTGGAAAAGCAGACCAAAAGAACACCAAAGAAGCTCACCAATGTATGGCTGTGAATAGGGCTTAGCAAGAAAATGGATTTTAGCCACTTAAAAAAAAGCCTACTTAAAAAGAACATCCCTATCAGTCTGAGCAGACGCTATATTGGGAAATATTTTCACTGCTTTACCTCGCTGTCAGGCAGCCATTTTCTTTGGTACCACATTTTCTCAACTGTATAACCTCCATATTCCTAGCCATGCACTGCATCATGCCGCAGGTCAGCTGTTGGGGTCAGAAAGTGCTGTTGAGCGATCCAACTGATTCTGACTTTTCTAAAGATTGTAAAGATGGTGCATGCTTGTGTTTTTCCAGGTTGGTCAAACAGAAATTAAAACAGTTGTAGCTAGTTGCATTGAATATAGACATCAGCTCCACCTGCAAGACTGAGACAACTCTGTGTTTGCAGTTAACATTGCTCCCAAGAAGATTATGTAAAACTACCACCAAATAAGCAAGAGAGAATCTTGCTGAAGTGCACTGCTATGCTTAACCATCAGGTAAAAATAGGCAAAATACCTAAAGTAGATTAAACTAATTGCCAAACAACTAGGAAAGTGTGAAGCAGTGGCATCCTCTGCTTCAGAAGATTGTGAAGTGGTGTTGTAACCAAGTCCCACTCATGGCAGCAGTAGCTCTCTGGGACAGTGAGCATGCATTCCAGAGTTAGTTTGAGCTCTTTCTTGGCCTCCAGTTTGCACAGAAGCTCCTTCTTTTTCGGCCTGTTCAGTCCCTCTCCGTAAAGCTCTTCTTCCCTATACTTTATAACTTTATAAAAGTATCCTTTTATCTCCATGGTAAACTGCATTTCTTCCTCGCTGTCATAATCACTCAGTTTTTGTATTGTCTTGTATTTGTCATTTCTTCCATAAAATGCTGAAAGTCTGACCCAAACAGCTGACCTGTGGCACAATACAGTATGTGGCACCTTTCTATAGGATACAGACATTATACAGTTGAGAAACATGTAGTGCCAAAGGAAAGGGCTGTCTGACTGCATGGTAAAGCCATGATCATCATTATAGTATCCACTCAGCCTAATACTGAATTGTTTTTTGCTGGCCTTCTTTAAGTGGCTAAAGTACGTGTTGCTGCAAACCCTAATCCACGACAATGCGTTGCTGAGCTTCTGTGGTGCTAGTGCCCAGGGCTGGGAATCACCAGAGGCCCCTCAATATGACATTATTACGATACTTAATTCATGATACAATATTATTGCAATTTTAAATGTTTTGCGATACACTGAGTATTATTATTGTTTTTCAACTGCAAATCATGTCCCCAAAGGAAACTTGGTCAAAATGTTTCAGCTAATAAGATAAAGTGTTCAGTCTGTTCATCTTGCTTCAGTTACTGTTATTGCAGCAAAATGTATCCAGTGGACTGAAAAGCCAAATTGATTTATTCTAGTAGGTTACCAAAAGTTAAATTTTTGTTTGCAGTATTAATAATTCATAGAATTAAAAAAATCAATACTTGGCATCTACGCAAAAATATCGCTGTACTATGCTGTATCAGTTTTTTCCCTCACCCCTACTAGTGCCGTCCGCTTCTCCAAACAGGGAGCATGCTGACCACCATTTACTGTATGTAAAACACTGATTATAGATGTATATGTCATGCAGCCCCACTTTACATTATCTGAACTGTCCCTTTAATAATAAATTGAAATATAAGCATGTAAAACTGCAGTTAGTTCTAGCACTAATTTAGAATATGTCCATGTCTAAGAAATCATTGTATAAACTTGGGAATCAGATTATTATATGTTGCATGTTTGTTCATTCGTTTAATTGACCACCTTGTCCGTGCAGTGTCATATCACAGGATGCAGGGGTGTAGAAATGCACAAATGCATAACAGTTTGAGTGTGTATACAAAATGTTAATATAAACTTTTAGATCATTTAGCTAGTATAGATGGTCTAGCATTTTTGAGTAGTTGACTAAAGCTGTGTCCCCCTCCCCCCATTTCACTGACTCTGAATGTTATCGTGGTTTTCTATGCTGTATGTATCCTGCAGTGTTTCATCTGTACAAGTACTCACTCTTTAATACTTTCACTATTTGATTTGACTTCACAAACAGACTCTGTCCGAAGCCGTAGTCAAAGTGGTTATCCCAACCGAAAGGTACACACACTCTTCTTACTACGACTGACCCGCTGTTCTTACACAAGTGTTGTAGGACCCACACAGATTCTGTCAGGCAGGAGGTTCCAGTCCTAAGATCTGTTCATGCATCTGACATATAGATCATGGTAAACAACACCACCATGCAACATATGAGTGCACATTTTGACATCTTTAATTAGGACTGAGGGTTCTTGTTGTAGATGTCAAAGGTCCCATCAGATTTACACATAGTGAATGCAGTTTGTATTTTTTTCCTAGTTTACTCAAATACCTCAGATAACTCATGTTTTTCCAATATTAATATATTAATGTGTTACTATGAAAAGTGTAAAGCAGTAGACATTGTAAAGGACTGTTAGAGCCACTGATTTAAACCAACATCTTTGAGCCCTGGGTTTCCCATGGGTAGGCTGAGACACTGCAGACCGATACAGCTAGAAGGCAGATAGATGTAATATTAACTCAAGTCAGACGATGTAGATTCATGCTAGTGCCATAAGTCAAACTAAGTCCCATGTCAGGTTAGAGTAGTGAGTAATATATAAGTCTAAACTGCAGTGGTAGATCTGACACAAAATCAGCAACACTGCGTAAACACACTTTACACTGATGCTTCATTTCAGAAAGGTTTCAGGCCTGAAGCCCCAATCCACAGTAACTTCTCTACATAACTGCCTGAAGAGATGTTGTCACCCTGATGCTGACCTATCACTCATTGACTGTGTTCTGTTACAAGTTATTTTCCAGAGACATACATTTTCAGACCATTATACCTAAAGAAAATATCTTAAATTTGATGGCCTTACAACTGAATACCAACCACGTATAAATGTTGTAGTTGAGACTTTTTATTACATCCTTAGAATAAAAACTGGCCTCTAAACTCGTGTTGTGTTGAATTTGTGAAGAAAACTTTTTTTGTATCCCTCAAGTGAACGAAGAATTAAAAAACTGAGAATATTCTCAACGAATTGAAGTCATGGGGGCCATGTTTAACAACAGAAAAACTATATAAAAGCATTGATTCAAAACCTCTCACACAACTCGTACAGTATAATCCAAGTCTCATTTATCCAATTATATGCTAAATACCTCCCAGACACATGCATTCATTTTTCACTAAACCATTACTGTTTATAACTGAACTGAAAGTACAACTTGTCTATGCTTTCTTATAAGCCACTCACTCTGTTGACAAAAATAGTAATTTAAAGCCCCGTTTCCACCAAACACTTTTGGTATGGTACCTCTGGAACCAACAGTAACCCTTCAGACATGGTACCTAGACCCTGGCGTTTCCACCACAAACAGTACTCTTAAAGGTGGGCAGGGTCATCGTCACTCACTGCTCCGTCCAGCACTCACTGTATTTCCTCCTTTATCAGTCTGCACCTCGTTTGTCGTCCACAGAATGCTGACATTTTCAAAACAAAATAAAACAGGCTGCAGTTTACTAATAAAACTCTCCACGGTATGAACAGAGGTTACATGAGCCTCAAAACCAGCCACAACGCAGTCCTGAGCAGAGTGACCGTCCTCTATTGACCAATCAACAGACTGCAGTGTTCACAGCTCCACCTTTTAGTACCAGATCTGTGTGCTAGGTACCCCAAGAGAGGGGGGACCAAAAATGGGGACGATACGGAACAGTTCCATTGGTACCATCCACAACTTTTCACAGTGGAAGGAAAAAAAGCGTACTGAACTGAACCGTACCGTACTGTTCAGTGGAAACTGGGCCTTAGATCACTGAACACAGGACTTTGTTGTTTTAAAGGATTAGTTCAGATTCACCAAAGTCATACACTAACTCAAACAAACTACAAATTGAGGCAGCAGTAGACCAACAGCTCTCATGTTCAGTGAGGCAAAATTACTTTTTGTTTGAGTCTGGTTTTGAGGAGAGCATAGATAAATTCCACCTTAAGTTTAGTGCTAAATTGTAAGGTTTTAGCAAAATGCATGTGTGTGAGAAGTACTGAACATTTGACTGGATAGATGAGACCTGGATTATACTACATGAGTTGTGTGAGAATTTGTAAACGGATGTTTTGATATGATTCAATTCATCAAGAATTTTCTCAGTTTTTGGATTCTTCCGTCACTGCATAGGCATGGAAAAACAAAGTTTTCTTCACAAATTCAATGTAACACACTGATATATGATTGATAATTGATTTACAAATGGTCATATGGGGGTTAAAGTATCCTTTTAAATTTTGGATTGGGGCTTTCACATCTTAAAAGCTAAGTCAGTGTTCATGAATAAATACTGTGTGATTTCTTTTACCCCTTTTCATGGACACAGTGACCCAGGAATATTACAGTGTGCTGACAGTGTCTGTCCAGAAGGCAGTGACTCTGCAGTTCTTGCACAGTGAAATATCCCTCAGGCTGTCGCCTTATTATGGTCAACATTCTTTGAAGTAGTGAATGCTGTGACATGGAACGACACTGTTAGCGGTCAGCTACATTCAATCAGACGGTCAGCCTGCAGTTTGCATGGGTCACTAGTTCAGTGTAAAGAGGTGTTAGAGATCTCATACTGTAACTGACAGGCAGTGTGCAAACCCTGGTCTGATACGCTCTTCTCTCCCCACAGGAATCTGTTATTCCTCATTCACAGGATGATAGAGTTTGTGGTGCGTGAAGGCCCCGTGTTTGAAGCCGTAATTATGAACAAGGAGAAAAACAATCCAGACTTCAGGTGGGAGTTGCTGCGCCTGGCTGTGTGTTGGCTGTGACCTTGAAGGGTTCGTATTAAATTTGCTCATTCTTTATCGTCTCAGGTTCCTGTTTGACAACAAAAGCCAGGATCATGTGTACTATCGTTGGAAATTGTTCACCATCCTCCAGGTATGTTTTTACAGCACCACCTTGTTTCTGAAAATGTCTAGGACTTTATGTGGAGGAACTAAAAAACTATTCTATACTATAAAAGCTGTTGAATACCTGAATTCTCTCTAGCTTTTACTCCATGAAAATGAAACTGTGGCAGTGATGCAAAGTTGACACCTCTCGGCAAAAATCACCTTTTTAAATACAGAATAGGTCATTTCTGAGATTTGTGTAGATTGGATGAGTTTTTGAATTGGGGGGTCGGGGTTGTCTGGGCTTGCGAGGACAGAGTCACAGGAGATAAACAAAGTCAGTTTTTGACTGCCCACATGCCTGTAGGTAAGAGTGTCTTACAATTGCATGATGATAACCTCACTTGGATTATATGATGATCTGTGATGTTGTTCTGACACAGTGGATGCTAGCCGGTGTTTCCCCTTCATGCATTTAGCAGCAGCGCTGCAATAAAATCTCCACATGCACAATTAACTCGCTCTTTCAAGGCTTCTCTAAACAGCAAGAGTCGTGGACCAGCAAGAATTATAAACAGAACACCCCCAGATATTGGAGCTCTGATTGATCAGCCACTGACTGTTATTGGCAGATATTCTTTCTAAATAGTTTGAAGGCCGATGAGATGACACAAAACAGGAGAGACTATGTTTATAAGCAGTACTGAATGAACTGAAGCTCACACTGAACATTCACTGTCACATTCATGGTTTACTGCTAATCTGATGTCCAGCTCACCTGCCTGTCCTGAGTGCAGACACACCGTGTCTCTCTCCTCGCTTGCAAGACACACACACACACACACACACACACACACACACACACACACACTGCACTGAATGCTTCTGTAGAGGCTACAGTATACTCCACTGTTTTCTGACAATGTCAACAAGCTGCAGTTCAAAGGTGAACGGTCTTATGATGGAGCATTACATTAGGCTACAGTTGTGTTATTTATTTTTGTTATGTATTGAAAAAATGTCAGTGTTTGAGTGCTTCAACTCTTGCAGTGAGAAATATGACCAATGAGCCACAGTTGTTTACATTTTTCAAAATAAATGAAAAAATGTGGGCAATTAGCTGAAATGGACCTAGGTTACTTATAATGTATTTAAATTAAAGGCTTGTTACAGTAGCCTAATATGTAGCATAAGAAAAGGGCAAATGCTAAGCTCACTGAAAACAATAGAAGCTGAATTTACTTTGTTACAGGTTTTCTTTTAGTTGTAGTGGCTGTGAGATTAATTTCTGAAAGTCATATCGAAGCCCTGTGTTTAAAATGACCAAACAGCAGTCGTTCTAACTGTAAAGAGCAACCCCCCCCCCCCCCCCGATTTTTAATAGCTGCACCAATGTAGTAAAGGGCACCTTAATACAGTTTGGGACTTGGCTCTGCACTACTGTGTCCTGACCTGATGTCCCCCTTACATTACTTTGACAGTAAGATCAGATTTATTCTAGGGGGTGTTTGTCACAGTATGGTTATGCTGAAATCAGCTGAATAGCCACATTTAAAAGCTGATATTTAATAAGTATCCTCCCAGGGGAGCATGCCCCTGAACATCCTAGAAGGTTCGCAGTTCACATCACAGTCACCTTTTTCACCCGGATGAGTCTGCACCCCTGCTATGATGTATCCGTATGTAAGTTTCCATGTACCTGGCCTTCATTACCACAGGGACAGACACCGACAGAGTGGAGGACCGCAGATTTTCGTATGTTCCGGGGAGGATCCATGTGGAGACCTCCTGTCCTAAACAATTACTCTCAGAGAGTTGAAGAGAAAGCCGAGGTGGAGGAGGATGCTCCCCCTGAGGAGGAGGTGAAGAAAGGGCAGCTCAGAGCTGAGTAAGTATATCTAGCAGACATAATGACATTTATGTATGGATATAACTTTAGTTAAATCAAATTATTCTTCTGTTAATACCATTCAGGCACAGACAGAGGCTCGAGACGTTGCTGAAGGAGCTCACTCCGAGCAGAGAGGATGTCGCCAATGCCATGCTGTTCTGTCTCGAGCGAGCAGACGCAGCAGAGGAAGTGGTGGGGCACATCACCGAATCTTTTTCCTTGCTTCAGACGCCACTTCAGAAGAAGGCCAGTCTCCTTACTCTAAAAGTTTTTTTTATAAATAAAGTGTAGGTGATTTCATTTACATTATGTATTCTTTGTCCTCGTCTCTACAGATTGCCAGATTGTATCTCGTGTCAGACATCTTGCACAACTCATGTGCCAAAGTAGCCGGTGCATCATATTATCGTAAATAGTAAGATACTTTCCCTCAATTCGGCTTGAACGCTTCTATCCTCCTTTAATTCATCACCATCTGATAATCTTAAAGTCTTAAAATGTTCTTAAATCTCCTCTCTCTGTTGTTTTTTTTCCTCCAGTTTTGAAACAAAGCTAACACAGATATTTGGAGACCTTAATGCAGCGCATAAAAACATACAAGCCAGGCTGCAGGCAGAACAGTTTAAGGTAAACACGTGTTTCATTTGCCTCACACAAGGACATTTATTAAAAATAGAACAGCAACAACAACAACAAAAATTAATTCTCTCTCTCTCCACAGCAAAAGGTCATGAGTTGTTTTCGAGCATGGGAGGACTGGGCCATATACCCGGAGCCTTATCTAATCCACCTTCAAAACATCTTTCTGGGCTTTGCCAAAGCAGCGGAGGAGCCGACAGAGACGCCAGAGGTGAGCTGAATATTTATCTGCTCATTACACACAGTATTACCTTTCTCTGATGACATTTCAGCCAATTACACAGCTGCTCATGCTGAAAAATATTTGAACACGAAGAAGATGATGCTCAAACATATTTGGACATCTGTCTCCTCGCAGGAAGCATCCTCTGATCTCGACGGTGCTCCGATGGACAGCACGCTCATAGATGGGTTACCTTTGCAGAGCACTCCAGTGGATGACCTTGACGGCTGCCCCCTAGGCTGGGACCCTCTTGATGGAGTCCCTGTCGATGACATAGACGGCGTTCCCTTAGGAGCAGGCATTGACGACATTGATGGAATGCCCTGTGAGTCCAACACATATCAAAAGCACATCTTTCAACCAGAGGTCCACCGTTTCCTGTTGCTGTTGTCAATTATCTGCCTGACTCAAGTGTCTTAGATCAATACATAATCAATCCTCCCTCTCATGGGTTGTTGTCTTTAGCTGAGTGTGCACTTTAAACTCTATTAGAACATGACAATGCAGAATTTTCCAGCAGGGATTAATGAACTCATCAACACCATTAAATGATGTCACTGTCCTGACCCTGCTGTGTCTCTTGTGTCCTCAGTGGATGAGAGCAATGCTCCTCTCTCCAGAGTGCCTTTGTCCAAGTGGGAGAGTGACACAGGGACATTTTCTCAAGGTAACACAGGTCAAGATGCACTTGTGTATCATATTAATCTCCCCCCTATGATCCTGCTCATCTTTCCCTTTTCTCTCTAAGCCAACCCTGAGTCTAAGTGGGACATGGTGGTGGAGAATAACAGTGAAGATGAAGTCAATGTAAGGTAAGGCCTCTGTGTTTGGTTTGAATGCACCATCAGTCTGCATACAGAGTGTACATAAACTGTCAAATGGTATGTAAATGTGTTGTTCTCCTCCCCCTCCTGGTGACAGCATCAACTCACAGGACCGAGAGGAAGACTCGGAGAGTGACAGTAGTGATGACTCGGGCGGTTCGTCTAAATATGAGAGTGCAGACTTTCAGAGCTCCCTCAGAAGTTTTCAGATGTCTGAGGGCAAAAGGAAGAGGTTGAGAGAGCTGGAGGCAAGTACGCATTTAAAAACAAAACAAAAAAACAGATGAAAACTGTGTTTGCTTTTAAATACAATACAATATAACTGTGGTTGTCGTCCTGTGTTATCTGCTGTGGTTCAAGCCATCCAAATTTGAAAGTCGCCCTTCAGTCCGTGTCAGTATCCTGCTGAAAGGGTGACTTCAGTGTTTCTTAACTTGGACTCTGTTTGCCCATGTTTTTGAGTTAAAGCCACTAATGGGAAGTGTTTTAAACAGGTCGAGTACTGAGGAAGACCACTGCATCCAACAGTGGCGACACAGGCTGTAGTTGAACCACTCAGGGCATTAAGCACTGTGAGTTTAGGTCCACTAAAAGTGCTTGTTTTTGCCACTGAAAGGCTCAGTGTCTGACAACATTATGGCAAAGATCTCTACAGAGATAGACCTCTTAGTTAAAGCATAAGATCCTTTTTGTTTAACCAGAAACAACCCCAAAATCGCCATCACCGAACCCACCAGACTCCTTTTAAATAAACGGTAATTTAAGAGTGTAAACGCCAGAATATTTTTACATCTAAATGAGTGAATTAAGGGTTTATTTCAACAGGAGCAGAGTTGGTGATCGTTGCAGCAATCGAAAAGACTAACCAAGCCGTCGAGGTGCCATCTCACTCAATACTGGACCAGTTTTAAAAGTTGTTGCCTCCACTAATCACCTCCACTAATTGAAAAATACTTAAGTTACCCTTAAGATAAGACATATACAGTTTTTAATTTCAGAAGGAAATGTCACCAGTTATTGGATTGAGCAGTTAGAGCCATAACTGTATTGGCATATCCCAATTCCTTTCCACCTCTTGACTCCACAGTGAGCTGCCTCCCTGCATCTTCAACCATATTAAAATGTCAAATTCTAATTAATAAACTGCAGGACTGATGAGATGTGTCCTGACACAGGTAAAGGTTATGAAGATCCAAGATGAGCTGGAATCTGGCAAGCGGCCGAGGAAGTCTGGAATGAGCATACAACAACAAGTGGAGCACTACAGGAACAAACTGTTACAGAAGGTGGGCTATGGGACACTTTTTTATTTCATATTGCATGTTTGAGTTTGACCTTAGATAAATAGGAGGTGTCCTGAATTATTAAAGCAGTTAATTACGCAGTATTATTTACACCCAGTGTTTGTTCTGCAGGGAGGGGTCCTTAAAAGAATATGTCACTCAGAAAATTAACATTTGTATTTCAGTTTCTCACCCAGTGTTATGTTGAATTTGTGAAGACATCAATACTGAGCATAAAACTTGATAAATGAGACTTGTAGTAAACAGATGTTTTGATATAGTTTTGCTGTCGTTAAACACAGCCCCCTTCGACTTTTCTTTTCAGTTTTGGGATTCTTCGTTCACCATTAAGGCATGCAAGAGTTTTCTTTACAAATTCAACTTAACATCGGATGATCATTTTGTGGGTGAACTATTCATTCAAAGAAAAAATGCAACCATCACTGATGTGCAATAGAAAGAGTTCTTTAATTAAGAACAACACTGGGCAAAATATACAAAAGTTCTTGTTCTACGTACATTAAAATTAGACTGTTAAATCAGTTAATTAGCACAGTAAAAAAACGGTGGCACTAAAAACCAGACACAGCTGATGGAGAGCCACAGTAGCAGTTTCAGATCTGCAGATTTAGTCCAGTGTGGCCATCTACAGGAAAAGAAGGTCTAGCTACAGTTGCTGTTTGTATTTAACAAGTAAAACATACAATATTGATGTTTTGTTTACTGGAGCACAATCTGTGTTTAATACTAAAGTAAGCAACAGTTTGCTCAAAGTATTATGAGCTTGTTTGACACTAATATTTTTGGCCACACAGAGAAAACGATTGCTCTCTCTGCCTGTAGGTGTCGATGTTGATATTCATACATCTCTAGGTCTGAATGAATTATTTTTCCATTACAGTAGGTGGAACAGTTTAGCATGTGTTGAAGTCATCTGACATTGACCAGACAACTCCCCCTTGTGGAGGAGCCACGGGCTATTGAGCGTGAATGAGTGGGTGTGTGAGTTACAAGCCAGCTCTGCGTTTTCTTGACAGGCAAAGATAAAGAAATATGTCTGACCTCACTGGGATGTTTTACTTTGTCCATTATAGGAGTTTGAAAAAGATGAAGACAAGATTGAGAGGTCGACGTCGAAGTCTAAAGACAAGTCAAAGGACGACAGGAGGGACAGAAGACGAGGATATAGTAGAGATCCTGACGACCAGAGCCAAAAGTCGAGGAGCATCTCCCCTTCAAAGTAAGTGCCATGAGATGTTGTTGTAGAGTGCTGCCAGTGTATTCCTCCTGATTGTTATTCTTGAATCTATTATACGTTCAACCCTTTTAAACAGGACAAGGTCTCCCAAATGGTCCAAGCGTTCCCGATCGCCATCTCCAGACCGTAAGGCAGGGAAGTCCAGGTCACGGTCGCCGCATCGCTCGCACAAAAAGGCAAAGAAGAGCAAACACTGACTCTCAGTGACACTCTGGACCCTGTCATCCATTAGCCTGCTGGGTTACACAACGCAGTGCTCTTTAAAGAGACTTGGTACGTTTGTTGTCTTGGTCCCCTCTCACACTATCCATGCAAGATTCAGCACTCTTTTGTATGATGAAGTTTGAACACTGTAACTAATTATATATATTTTTGTTTTAATGTTTGTTTTTAAAATGATAACCAGAAATGTTGCTGCAAAGTTCTGACACTAAATAAATCACTGCTGGTGATGAATGTGTGTGTGGAGGACGTGTTTGAGGGCCAGGTATCAAAATGTTACTCACTCACCTAAGTTGTTGGCAATGATTTTGATTTCTCAAGGTTAAAAAAAAGGTTATCAACAAGCATTCTTCTAGTTTGTGTTTGCTTTTATTGAGGAAATTAATAGAGCATTTGGTTCTGTTTACAAAAGCAGCAAGTATGCAATGTTAAACACTGAATTTACAGTACTATTTTATAATGAAATGTGCTTTCATTGAACAAAACAATTTATCAAAAGTACGTAAGAGCCAGTATTGTTTCTGAAAAAAATTTAAGATACCCAGCCCCAATCACAAATAGCCGCATACAGATTTCCTGTACCGCAGATTTGCTGTCATCCGCTGAAACGTCTGATAAACCTTAGAGGAAAGCTTGAAGTTAAATTTAGAAAAGCGATCTAGATTTCAGAGGCACAAATAATTTCAAACCACCTTGCTTTCGAGACAAAGGGTTACATCTCTTTACATAAGACACATTGAAATTTGTGACTGACATTAGGACAGTGTCTTGCACATAACTCTTCTGAAATGTGGGAGCAAAAGAAATTAGTAAGGTGCCCATACTGTTACAAATAGCCTTCTAGCTATACTCAAGTCTTACAGCTGTAAATTAGCACATACATATCTGAACAGACCGCACACACTCAACATATGCAGCTCTTTTTGTTTCTCGATGCCACACCGTTCACAGTTCCTTGGTATTAAAGATAAAAAATAGAAATGTGACAGGGAATCACACAGTCTGTTCTGTACAGTCAGTTTTCTTCCACCCATTCCCTCATCTTCCATTTTAAGGGTCCCTGTTCTTCTGAAAAAGCTACAGACGGCTCTTTGTCTCAGAGGAATAACCGTTAGGTAGTTGGGTGATGTTAGATGGCCCCTGACGGGCTGTCCTTCATCTTCAGGACTGATCTCCGACAGGCAGGCCTGAGTGCGGGGAGCCGACAAACCTCTGAAGTGCTCAGTACTTTTTTACATTGATGAAAACCTTGATGGCTCCAGTGAAGTCAGCGGAGAGTAGAACCTCCGTGTGATCGGTCTTCAGGGCTCCTGCCGAGGACAACACTGTTTTATAGCTCTGAAGTGACAGTCTGAGTGTCATGAAATCTGTCCGTGAATTAATTCAAGCCAACATACCTGAGGGTATCGTCTCAGAGTCTGTGGAGTCCAGGCTCTTGCACTCCGCTTCTGGTTTGTCTGCTCCAGCTTCCTGTGGAACAATAAGGCCCGGGTGCGGTGCAAAAATCGCTGAGGTGACCACTGCGTTGTGTGCTGAAAGATAAATAAAGCTTCAGTACCAGTTCTATCAAGGGGCACAAATAGAGCGCTCCAGACAGATGGGTTAGTTAGCATCACCCTGGTTCCCTTGACAAAAAGCCTACGGGTTTTTTCCACTGGAGTTTGGATTATTGTAGACAATACAATATTTACACATTTTGTTCAGCAGGATAATCATCTTAAATGAACCCCACATTTAAGAGTTCAGTTGGCAGAGGTACAAAGCTAACGGACTTCACCAGGGTGACATAACTTAACATTTCTACCACGGCAAGGCTGTTTGGCCTGATGACTTTCTGTAGTCTCATTTAGCCACTTGTTAGCAACTGCCTTTTTTAAGAAACATAAAAGCTACAAAACTCACAAGTGGGTTATTTCATGACATATTGTATGTCAGAGAAGAAAACATGAAAGCATCTAACCAAAATGCCCTTGACTTTGAGACTAGGGAAATGGGAGATGCCAAATTCCTCATTTCCAGGTTTCAGGACTCATTTCTGGGGCACATAATTTGTCAGACAGGTAGTCACATAAAAGGGACAGTTCAGTTGCCCCGTGTTGGAGATATCAGCTGTAGAGATGTCTGCCTTCTCTCTAATATAATGGAACTAGATGGCACTCGCCTTGTGGTGCTCAAAGTGCCAAAAAAATACATCTGACAAACTCAACAGCAATGTCTCTTTCCAGTAATCATGACCTGGTTTCTCAAGATAATCCACAGACCTCATTGTGAGCAGTTCCATGTAGAAACTATTTGCTTTCTACGAAACTACATTCACCAACCACATCACAGTGCAGAAGGAAGTGTGCATCTATTCATGCACAAGAGGCTTGTGCTCATGACACCGCAAGGTGTTAACATCAATGGTGGCTGAGCTGTAATGTATGTTAGCTCAGCGATACTAGGTGAGCTAGCTATCAGATGTACGCTTCCTTTTGCGTGATGATATGGTTTGTAGTCTGTAAATTATCTTGAGTAACCAGGTCATGATTTCTGGAAAGAGACATTGCTGTAGAGATTTTCACAATGTATTTTTTGGCACTTTGAGCACCACAAGCCAAGTGCCACCTAGTTCCATTATATTGGAGAGAAGGCAGACATCTCTACAGGCGATATCTCCGACACTCATCATCTCACACCAAAACAACCTAGACTGATAAACAGATCTACAGGTAAAAGCAAAAAATATGTATTTTTGATTTTCAGGTGAACTGTCCCTTTAAAATCACCTTTGTCATCCAACACACAGCACAGTTACCTTTAATTCCTTCCCAGAAGTCATTGCGGTCCCGTCGTACAGATGTGAATTTGCTCAGGTCGTGGTAAGTGCTCCAGATGTACACGTATTTATCCTCTGAGCCACTGACTATGAAGGAGTAGTCATGACTGTAGGAAGATAACCCGCAGTAAATCAAGGTACAGAACAATATATAAACAAGACTTTTGTGACTTGTTCAAAATGGTCAAGTTGAAACTCCAAAAAAGGGAGTCATCCTCACCTAAAGCTCGCCTTGATCTGGCTGCTGCTGTTCACATAACCTTTGTACTTCATGGATAAAGACAAGTCCCTCAGGTCATAAAGGCGAATGCGGGAATCATTTGAGGTCACCAAAATCTATCAGAGGGAGAAGAGGGAATTCATCATTTACAAGTCTGACTGGCGTCTCATTATACGGGCATCAAACCAACTCTAGATGTGTTTGTAGTGGTGATGAGATGTTACCTTATTCTCTCCAGGTAAAGGTTCAATTCCAGTGATTTTGCGTCCAACTTTGTTCCTGCCTCTGGTGGACCTCACGTGAATTTGTGTATGGTACTTCAGGCGCTACAGAACGGACAAAGAGAAAAATAAGTTCAACCTGGAATGAAAAAAAAACTCATAAGGTCGTAATGAAACCACTGCTGGGTACCTCTGTGTCATAGAAGATGCATCTGCCATCATAGGTGCCGATGACGGCGTACTTCCCATTTTGACAGAAGTTAGCTGCTGTGATGAGGCGTGTCTGACCGTCCACCTCGTTCCAAAGCGCCACCTTCTTGTCAGGAATGTTCCAGAGTCGTAGCTTTCCATCCAAAGAGCCACTTAAAAAGTATCTGTCATCCTGGAAAAAAACAGAAGCGAGTGCTACTATAAATACAATCTGAGAGCCAAAATTAATAGATGTCTGATTTTTGCTGAGAGAAGTAACGCAAGGTGACTCTACTTACTCTGGGATGGAAAGCAATGGCTGTGACAAAATCAATGTGCTGAAAGCAGCAGAGACACTCTCTCCTGGATATGTGCCACAGTCTGACTGTTTTATCCATGGAGGAGGAGAGCAGGAAGAAGTTCTACAGTGACACAAAAATGGAAAAAAGTAAGATGAAGATAAAACCAGTGCTGAGAGTGTCGAATGTGTGAGAAGAGGAGGGATAAAAGGACAAAGAGAGGACAGTAAGATATCACCTTTGACCAGGACAAGTCCAGTAGATCAGCTGTATGACCTTTATACTTGCAGAAGGGGACTTGACGGAAAGGGGCATTCCTATCTTCTGTGTCTGGGTCCTCTGGAGCACAACTTGCCTAAGATGAGAGTACGATCTGTTAAGAATCTCAAGACTGTGAAAGACACAACATTGCAATAGTCGCACTACTATTCTTAGCATTTTTGGATGTCCCCCAAATTAAAGGGATCATTGATTTCACTCACCCCAGGGTCATCAGATTTAGAAGAGCACAGACTTTCCTGAGAGGGAGAAGGTGAAACTCGACCTGGAGAAGCCAAACAAATAAATCTTAATGCAGCTAAAGCATCTATGGGTGCTTTCAGACCTAGAGTTGTTTTGCTTTGGTCTGAATCAGGGACTAATTTTGTTACAAAGCTGTATAATTGCCTAGAGTTGGTTCGTGTTCTCACAGCAGCATTTACAAGCGGACCAGATCAAATGCCTTGCGCAAGAAAGCTGCTCTTGATTGGTCAGAATTTCCATGTGGGAAAAATCCAGGAAGTAAACAAACCATACAGTTTGCAAACAAGGCGCGACTCCAACTAGAAAACAATGTTTTGATGCATTGGATGTGCTGAATGTGCATATTAAGGCAGTACAGGAGGAGGTGCACATTAATAATCCTCCAGGACTGTAACATGCTCATGTTTAACCCAAACAATATGTCATGTGACTGCAGTTGGTTTGGATCGAGGTTGGAACTAAACGAAACGCACCAGAGTTCGTTTGTAACTGGACTGAGACCACCTCTACAACAAGGTCTGGCTGTTTTGGTGCAAACTCAAGTGTGATTGCTGTGTTCACACCTGCCCAAATGAACCGCAGTTTGGGGGCAAACATACTTGACTTCGATTGAACCAAACCAAACGGGCCAGGTATGAAACCATTAACATAATCAATCATCATACAACAACAAAAAAATCTGCGATTCCGATGATGTTACCTTCAGTGTTGTACTTTAATCTCATGTTATTAAAGTAGTCAAAGGCAGTCTTCAACACCCAGATGCGAACCACATTATCTTGGCCTGCTGTCGCCAGCAGCCTCCCGCAGTGAGAGAACTTCATCGTCCAAACGGCCCCCTGAGGACAAGACACAGATGGTGTAATTCCAGCACTCATTGGTGCACATCTTCTCTTAAACATTAATATCACACAAAAACCTAAGCTCCTCTCACCATGTGCTCTCCACTCAGGTCCTGCACAACT